TCCTAATGTCCTCACCCCATGAGGCATTATAATGTTATATCTCTATATACCACCTCTATCATTTCATTTTATATCAAATCAAATGTGTCCCTCTCCAGCACAACATGTTCCAACCCATACCATATTATTTTCTAGGCAAAATTTTAATAGCAATTTTTTTTTTTTTTTTTGGCATGGTACGATCCGGTGGATCTAGACCGTACATTTTAAAAGATTTTTTTAAAATTGTTTATCATGCAATTTTGGCCATACTTGGATATGGGCAGAGTGGGTATGTTATGCCCTACTAATTATTGGAAATGTTTAAGTGCGATTTTTTAATGGACTTTGGATTTTTCATCATTAATTTTGATTGTTATTCAAAAACCATAATGAAATTGACCAATAAAAATATATTACAATGTCCCCAAATCATTTGTGATTTAGAGTGGTGCATGCAAAGTGTGGTTGTTGCATGGCTTTCATCAAATCAACTCTGTGCAAATCTTGTTAATTAGTACAACAAGAGGGGAGATTGTTGATACGGCTTCTATGGATAGTTGGATACAATACTTGAGTGTTATAAGTGCATCTGCATGTGAACGTCTAATAAAAAATTATAGAAGTTGAGATGGATTTTTGTTATTGTATTGAGTGTTCTAAATGCACCTACAAGTGTGTGTGTATATATATATATATATAATGTATGTATGTATATATATATATAATGGAAGATGATAGAAATCAGGATTGATTTTTGTCATCGAATTGAGTGTTCTAAATGCATCTACAAGTGTATATCTATGGAAAGATGATTGAAATTCGGACCAATTTCTTTTATCTAATGGAGTGTTCTAAATGCATCTACAAGTGTATATCTATGGGAAGATTATAGAAATTCGAATCAATTTTGCTCATATTGAGTCCCAAACTCTCAACCTAGAGAGGAGAGCTTATGCCATTAAAACTAGTACCCCTTGATCTCATATCAATACTTCCAATGAGTACAACTATATATGCGAAAAATTATGAAGTCATATTTTCCTCTTTAAAAGGCATGCTGGTCAATTTTTAATTTTTTACAATTAGATTAAACTATCAGGTGAATTATATAAAATATTGATTACCAATCCTTTTAACTTCAAATTACAGTGTACTATGGTAAAGATTAAAAAATAATAATAATGCAAAATAAAATATACAACTACATGTAATTTTTCCAAAGAATTGACCTTTCTTTCTTTAAGTTTTTTTTTTTTGCAAGAATAGTTCTTTGTTAAAAATTGAAAAATAGAATACATGCAAAAGCTTATTTGGTCAATAAAAAGGAGTTAGAAAACAAAAAAAAAAAAAAAAAAAAATTAATTGTCGTAACCCGTTCAAAAAAATACTCCATTTTAATTCTCTTCAAAGTTCCTGAAAATTGTCTCAGAAATTGAATCAAATAGATCCAATCTTTTGAAGCAGCAAACAACTAATTAGTACTCTTTTGATCGTTTGAAATCAAAGCTTTGAGAATTCAAATTGGAGAAATTTTATTTAGGACTTCAAATAATAATATTTACAATTCGAATTCTATGGTGTGGATTTCACATAAACAAAATACCTGATACAACTGTTTGCAAAACAGGCTTTTTGCTTTTAGTTTTAGCACTATTCTTATATCACCACCAAAACTAATAATTTATGTCCCAAAAGCTCATTGAGAGACATTTCCAATAGGAAAATGATAAAAGTGTCGGTTATATAAAATCGACTGTGTGTCAATCATTGATAGAAATTTTCTAAAAGAAGACACAGTCTCTCTTATGGATTTCTACCTAAAAGAAGATAAGTCTCTCCTATGGATTAGGAAAGAGAGTTCTTGTTGAACACTGTCTATTAGAATCCGCCTACAAAACCAATCCGATATTTTAGCTTACTCTTTCCAATAAAATTCATTATTAGACTCTTTATTTGGATGTAAAATATATTTTTTAAATTTTTTATTTTCTAGTGTTTGGTTTTCGTAAAAAATATATATATATTAAAACATAATAAAAATAACTTAGCCATCGATTTTTAGTAAGATATTTTACCGATAGACTCGACTTCAATCTCGATCTAAACCTTTGCCAAATATCAAAAAATAAAAAGTAAAAAATATTTTATCTAAAAAAGAAAAATATTTTATCAAAACAAACGGAGCCTTAAAGCCAACCCTCCTTGAACATGGTTTTAGAAAATATTTTTTGTCGAAACAAACAGAACCTTACAGCCAAGCCTCCTTGAACATGGTTTTAGGGCAGAGAAAAAGTTGATAAATCTAACCTTTGATACTAAAGTTGAATCTCTCTCTCTCTCTTTCTCTCTCTAAACTTCACAGGAACTCAAAGAATCAAAAAGTACTAAAAGAAAACAAAAATAGCCACATAAAATGAAGGAAGAGCCAACAAAATTAGCCACACAAAACAGAGAAAGAAGCACCTGACCAAAGTTTTATCTAATCAATCATAACTGGTGGGTAAAGAGGACAGACCTACAGGTCATCTGTCTTCATCTCTTCAATTTCTGAATCTCTCTGCCCGTGTTCTATGTGACAGTGATGAACCGGGTGGGGGCTGTGCATTTATACAAAATATATGGAGACAGGTAAATCCATCCCTCCAAAAACAATCAAGATTTGGTTCAGTGGTCCTTACCCCCTCTTGCTTTAAAAAAGAAACACAAGTACACCATTCAAATTTACATATAAGTATATACACATATTATATGTCCAAAACACAGTTCAATGTTTTACCCATGAAAACTGGCCACAACCAACCAAAAACTACATTTGTACAAAAAAACCACCTATACAGACTTCACATGTTTGTACCACTGTCTGTGTGGGTTGCCCTCACAAGCTAGTACAGTTGTGTGAGATTGAGTTCAGCATCATCATTCAGCAGGCTTCTGTGCTTAGCTCTTGCCAGAAGAAAGAAAGGTCACAATCACAAGGCTTGACCAAGACCATGACTCAGCAGCATTCAATTTTTAGGGCTGGTCCAACCTCAGTTTTTTTTCTTGTGTTAATAGGCAAGACACCTTCACACGCCTACTTCATCCTGATTGGGAGATACCATTGAAACTCATTTCAATGCAAATAACAAGTACAGCCACAAGAAGATGATAGTAAAATGGCTTAAGCTTAATGGGACTGGGATCCCCTCCCGTTCGGGGAGGGGATCCCGTCCTGTTCGTCTGGCGCACCAGCACAGATCCCAACACGGGTTCCATGCCTGTGCACCATCCAGTCCTGTTCGTGTGCATGGAGCCCCACACGGGGCTCGCATTGGGCTCCGTGTCTGTGCACTAAAACAACTGGCACCTAAACAGCTGGCACCCCACAAGTGGGGATCCTCTTCCAACCTAATGAGCAGTGCTACCTGAACAACTGGCAACAAACAACAATTTCATCTCCAGAAAAGTTGAATACACTGGGGACCAGCCATAAAAAACACACTATGAACAGGCTTAGGAAAAGACCACAAAGACTATATGACTCACAGTAGTGCCATTTCCCTTTCAAGAAAGCTATAGTTAACAGAAATTAAGGACAAGGGTCGTTCTCAAATTCTGCAGAACAACTAGATAGCAATAAAATTTGCACTGTAAACATGTACTGAATTTTTTTAAAAAGTGCATGCATCAGTTTTCATCTACAAAAACATTAGAAATAGACATTTGAAACAATAATGTTATGCACAGTTAAAGGAACACCCAACTAAAAGAAGTTTAAACCCTTCTTGAGTCAAACAATCAGACAGGCCATCAAGCAACCACCCCACATGTCAATTGACAGAAAGAGGTATCAAACCTCATCTTTTTTCAGCGTGTTACATATTCCACCACAACCATAATAATCTTCACCATTTTAACAATCTCTCTCAAAGTTAACCAAACACAATTATTTACAACTTGAACACAGCAATCCATCAATCAATCAATCAAAACACCACCTTATCGGATAAGTTATCACTAATTGATTGTAGCAACCATTTCAAGAATGTGGACCTAACTACTTTATGTTTTCCAGATTTCATGTTAGAATTTATTGAAAAGCATTGACAAATATACAACAAATAACAATAGCGGTAGGAGTCCATCAAACCACGTATTTTTAGTATCAAAAGAGTTGTTTGAGAATATGAGGGCAGTGTTTAATATATTTACAACCAAAATAATGAACAAATGAAAAGAACTAAATGCCCACCTTACCAAAATAAGGTAATAAATGAAAAGAACTTAGTGGCCCGTTAGAGAACCAACCATTCTTTGCTATTATCTACTAGCTAAAAAGAGCCCAAGAGCTATGCAACAATCAACTTAACACAATTGGATCTAAATATACTGCAGACCCCAACTCAGGTAGACTTTTAATAATTTATATGAAGCTGGATATGCTCCCACATACTACATTAGTTAGAGTACTCAACATACTGTTGCACTACTATTTGTATACCACTGATACTTTCTGAGAGCTCTTGACTTTGTCCTTCTGCAAACATGCCCCAATCATTCCTATTTCTTCAGATATGATAAGATGGATTATAAGATTGGGCTGGCAAGGAAGGAGCAGTGGATTGAGATGCATCAAATCAAAAACCAGTAGTGATCCTAGGGAATAAAAAGTGACTCTGCTTCCTAAGCCTTTGAAGAAAGCTCCGATATACTGCCTTTACAAAGGAACATTCACAAGACTCGAATATAGTAAAGACTCAAATATACCAGAGAGATCAATTTGCAATTCCTTTGTTGCTTATTGGACCAAAACAGACACATTTTTGGTCATTCCTTTATACCTAAATCTTTCAAAGTACAGCCCTTGGAGGAAATTCAATGAGTCCATTGCAAAGGTTGCAGGACAATTATCCACTTAAACAATCTCAGGTTCTATGAAAAGACAGTCACCGAATATTGAGAAAATATGTTCTACAAGTATCAATTTTCTTTTGAGATTGTTGCCATAAAACCAATGTACTTTGAACACTCACTTAAAGGAAATAAAAATTAGTCATAGTCATTAGAAATACACAAGAAATGAAGATGATTGCCAAATAAATGGGTGACAAAGAAATATGTACTTTAGATTGCTTCATGCTGCTAATGTTCCACAAAATGAGAACAGCCATATTTCATCTGCACGATACCGCTATCTTCCTCTCTAAGTGTCCATACTCTAGGCAGAGAAATCATCTTATCTATATTTAATTCATGCAAAAAGTTAAAACAAAGATAAGAAAGATCTCTGTTTGAATTGAATTTGCGAAAAATCAAGCTCACAATCTGAGTTTGACTTTTTTTTGGACAAGTACAATCTGAGTTTGAAGTTGAAGGCCCCAAATCCTAGGTATAAAAGGAACCAATTTCATGATATTAGTGGCTCTTCATTTTCCTTCCTTTTCATGGGAGTTCACTTCAGTCCTAGATATAAAAGGAACTGATTTCATAATATTAGTGGCTCTTCATTTTCCTTCCTTTTCATGGGAGTTTACTTCGGTCCATGTTAGCGTGCCAACTAGATAAAGTAACAAAACGATCCTACATAAATTTGGGAAAGAAGCACTAATGACCAGAGATGATGCCATCCACGAAATTCTACTCATCTTAAATGATCAGACCCAATTGCAACGAGCAGATGTATGGTCCGGTGGCTGAACACTGGCCATGGGAGGTACAAACCCCTTCCCCCACCAAATCTAGAAGAAAAATCAAAGGTGAGCCATGTAGCATCCAACTCTGAAAAATGAGTTTAAATAACATGAAAAATGAGTTTGAATACCTACAAATTACGTCTCACCTTAAGCCAAGATGCCAAAGAAAACTAAGATTGTGATGATTGTGCCAAATATCCAATTAATTATTGACTAGAAAATTTGACATCTTGAAACCACCAGTAATAAGAACATGTGTCACCCAAGATGATGTATCATAGGTTTACAGAACTATTATAATCCACCTATAACACCAAAGTGACTTTTGTTTGCATAACAGTATTATTTACACAAATACTAAGAATAAACAAGTAATGATAATAGAAACTGAAATTGTAGAACCTCTACTACCAAACGTTGCTGTTCATCCAACTCTTGTCTGAAGATTAATAATCAAATGGAAGAACTAATAAAAACAAGTCGAATATTACGAGTGTGAAGTAGTTCTTCTTCCCCTCATCATCACCAATGTCAAATAGAACATATCGACAAAAAAGGCCACAGCAAATAAAATACATTTTATTAAAGAACATCTGCTCCCAATTCCCACATAATTATGCAGCCAAGCATGAGTGCAGCTTTAAATTATCATATTGTTAATATAATATACATGTATATATGTTGCTTTTCAAAGAATATTATCTACCATAATTTTTTTTCCTGGTAAACATCTAACATAAATTTAACAAAGCTGCATTTCTTAGAGAGTCAACATAAGCAAAGTTCTAAGGACCAATGTTAAAGGCTCAATTCAGAAATAGAAAATACTAAAGGCTCATGTCCCCAAGTTTATTATGTGCACAATGTATAAAAGTTATGCATCGAGTCTCCATGTGTAAGTGTAGCTTATGTTTTAGGTGATTATCCTAACTAAATGTCAAATTGAAAACATTATTTAAGAAAGAGAACACAGAAAGGCAAGGCACCCGATGCCTATAAATAAAGAGAGGCAACTAACAATTGTCACTAAGTGTAAATTCTTTAGCAGTATTAGATAGATATACGTATAGGCACATAGCGTTCTGAAAAGTAAAAACAATCAAACTAACTTGCTAATAGAGAAGTTAACAGTTACTACAAGGCATTGATGGAAGTTCCACACACATTTGGTAGGACCAAACAACTAACATTAAACTTGCAATGAGCTGGTCATCCAGATTTCCACAATATAGTTTTTCTCCTTTCCCTTTTCGTTCGCAAGATTCGATTTTTTCGTACTTGTATGATTAGATCTCGATATAGGTCAATTAGTGAAAGTAAATCGAAAAATGACATTATAAGTTAACACACTAACTTATGGTTGATGCCAGACAACAATTGCTAGAAATTTTCCATCAATTTGTCATCCCACAATTCTATATAGCATATATGGATAAGAAAGTGTCACAATTTGGAAAAGAAATGGACAAGTTACAATGAGAGTTGAGATACAATCACAAAATTGCAATAGACTCACAGTTTTCAACTCAAAATTGAACTTAATATCGAATAATTCAGGCAGTGAAACACCAACAGAGCTTCAACAACACCCAGAAAAGCACCAGCAACGACATCAAACACAAAATGCCGGCCAAGAAAAACCCTAGAAATGGAAGTCACAACCGACCACAAGCAAACAATTAAAACAATATAACCAACCACCTTACCATCATCAGAACCGATCAAACCAATCCAATCAGCAACAAATTGATCACCAGAGGATTTCAGTTCGTCGAGAGCTCGTCCGATCAATTCAAACGAAAGGTACGAAAACGCGGCGATGAAGCAAACCCTAGAGGAGTGGCCACTTGGGAAGGACCAGTGGTCGACGGCGAAGGCGAGGGACATGCCCTTGTTGTAAACCGGCCGAGGACGGCGGACGAGGTGCTTGATGAGGCCGATCAAGAGGAGGTCAACGACGGAGCCGATGAGGAGGTCGGCGAGGAAGAGGCGGAGGTAGTGGGAAGTTGTAGAGAGAGGAGAGAGAAAGAGGGAGATGACGACGGGGAAAAAGAGGCGGCCGTCGCCCGAGATTTCAAGGGTTTTGAGGAGGGAGCGAGGGAGGATGGATTGGGTGGTGGTGTGGAGGTGGAGGGAGAGGGCAGTGTCGACTTTGATCAGACGGTCGAGGATCGACGGTACCGGGGATTTGGACGGTGGTGATTTGGGTTCCATGATTGGGGGAGTTCGTTTGGGATTGAAACCGTTGACCGACGATGTCCCACTGTCAGTTATATCAGAAGTGAAGTGCGAAGAAAATTGGAAAATAAAAAATTTCGATAAAATACATGAGAAAATGAAAAATGATATGATCAATGAAATTTTAATAAAGAAAATCATTTGAAGCTTGTTTGTTTGGAAGTAAAATATTTTTTATTTTATAATATTTGGTTGTTTTAAAAAATTTATAAAGAAAAAAAATATAAAAATTTAATAAAAATAAGAGAAAAGTGCCAAAAAAAAAAAAAAAAAAAACATGTACGGTTGAGGTTTTGCAACTAACCCCTTTAAACTAACAAATTGTTCCATTTAACCCCCTTAAACTAATAATAGGATGTCGAAAAAGCCAAAAGACAATATTACCCTTAATGAACTAACCCCCTTGTCTTTGGCCCTCATTCTTCTACAGAGGGAGGGGGAGAGAGAGCGAGCTGAGTTTGAGAGATACGGCGAAAGGCGACTGGAGGAGGATTCGTGGGACTTGGTAGGGAGTGGATTGGCGGGAGAGATGACAACTCCAATTCGGCAGTGAAAAGCTCGGCTTGACGATGGAGTACGGTAGCAGCGAGCTGGGAGATGGAGATTGAAGACGGCTGTGAGAATGTTGATGGCGCCGGTGAAACAGATCCGGCGACGACAGATCCAACGGAGACGACTGGTTCGGCTGCGGCTGTCATAAGCTCTGCGAAGAGGGAGATGACTTGGTCTTGGAGATCCGGCGAGACAGACCCAAGTCTTGGATTTATAGATCGGACTGGGTTAAGAACTCGGAAGCGAGCTGAGAAGCGATCGCCAAATGATTCATGATGTTATGGGTAAAGCAGCGCCAGATAAGATCAATGGAACAAAGGGTAGAGCAGTGGCGGTGATTCGGCAAAGCGTAGAGTAGCGGCAGAGGGGTTTCTCGGATGGAGATGAGAGGTCCGACAAAGGGTAGAGCAGCGGCAATCTCTAAAGGGTCCATTTCATCTTTTTGATTGTTTGATGATCCAGTAGTGTTTTTCTAGAGAGAGAAAGAGGTAGAAACAGAGAGAGGAGGAGGAGTGGGGTGGCAGGCAGCTGGTGGAAAGGGTCTTCGCCCTTTTTTTTTTACTTGAATTCCTTCGCATTCTCTTATTTTCTCTTACCTTCTATTTTCTTCTTCTATCGAGTTTTGATCCTCTCATCTTTCTCTTTTGCCAGTCAATTCACATGGTCAATTGATATATATATACTGATGATTAATTTCACTTTTCCCGCGGATTGGTTAGGCAGAATGGTGACGGTGGAGGTTTTGGGTGGAGAGTCGTGATGGTTTTGGTTGAAGGTGGTGGTGGACCGGTGATTATGGGTTTGATGTGTTATTTGGCTACGGATTTGGAATGGGGTGATGGGTGGTGGTGGTTATGGGTTTGCAGAGATAGGTGGCGGCGGTGTTGAGGTGACGAGGTTGAGGTGGAGAAGGGGATGGGTGGAAGGGCATTATTGTCCAAAATATTCAATTTATCTATCACATGAGAATCACGCGCTCATTTTTGGACAGCCGGTGGCCAGATGGAGTGATCTACAACAAATTTGGATAGTTCAGGGGGTTTTATGCATTTTTGATAGTTTAGGGTGGTTGCAAGTTTCGCAATAGTACAGGGGTTTTTTTTACACTTTTCTTTAAAAATAATTTATCCATCAATTTTAGACAAGTTATTTTACATGTCCTGCTGACTCAAACTTAACCTTAACCTCGTAGACCTTTGTCAAATACCGAAAAAATAAAAAAAAATAAAAATATTTTATGTTGAAACAAACAGAGCCTTACTGCTTGACAGTTGGATATGGAACTTTAGTTTTCACTCATATTTAAATAGTCGGAGTTGTCCGATTATTTAACTTAAAATAAATATTCATATCTTTTGGATAGATGTCTCGATAGTCTAGTGAGTTAGTGCCGAATACTATTTGTCTTGAAAAAAACAAAAAATTGTTATTACATTTTGTCTTCAATTTAAGAATTTTTTTGCTAGGGTCAATTAATTATACATGGAAGATGCCCTGGTAATAAAATTTTTTCTTTCTTTTTCATGGTGCATTATGTTTATTTTTTATTTATTTTATTTTCCTAGCAAACACGAGAAAATACATAGATGTAAAATCAAGAGTACAAACATCTAGACATAACATTGGGCACGGGCAAACATGCGCAAAAACAGAGTGACCCAATAGAGACATAAAGCTCTCAAAAGCATGAACAAAGATTGGACCTAAGGCCCAGCAAAACAAACCCATAGGATAGGAAGCCCGCCCACAATAACCAGAAACTTCTCCCGGACCCACCTCTGGACACCCAGCGTGATCCATACGCCAAAGGAGCAACATCAGCATGACGCCAAAGGAAATCACCATCACCAGAAAACACCATAAATGGAGGACACCGTGAGATCGATACTCCAGCCCCGGCGACCAATACGGCAACGATGAATAATTGTCCAGCAAAGGGACTTTACAATTAAAAGTATAGCCATATGAAATCCATAGAGGAGTCGGGGTTTCCAAGAAGGAATTATTCAGATGGCTCCTAATAGTGAAAGCATCATGGCCAAGAATAACCATAATACAGGCTGTTAAACTCTAGATCGGAGGAATCAGTAACACCGTCGTCACAAGCTTGAGGTAGATGAGCATCGCTGAGAAACATTGCTGAGTATCGCGATGTCCATCTTGCCAACTTGTTCCAGCCACGACCCATAGGCGATGGGGCCCGAAGGAGAGGCAAAACTAACCTAACCACAAAACCCACATACCGGAAAAAACAAAGAAAACGTCGCTGATCCAACAGAATCAGAAAATGCTGGTGTCCAGATAGACCCTCCGCCAACAAAGAGACCAAAAAACAAAACACCACATATAGAAATTTAGTACCCATAAAGCAACCAATAAAACTGTAAACATACCTGGATCAAAGGGAAAATACGACAAGGATGAGCCAATATGCCGTCCAGCAGTCAAAGCACTTGTTTGGACCACTAACTGCTCACCATATCCCCTTCTGCCAAAAACATATATGAACGACGAACAAAAGGAAGTGGGGAAGCCAACCCACAGATAAACTGTTGGGGAAACGGAAGTTTTTAAAACTTTATGAGGGAATTTCAAATTGTAATACCCCTAATTTTAAAAAGACTATTTCTGGTATTTAATTTATGATTTTTATAACATTTTTTTTTATTTAATGGATTACTTGAATTAATTGACTTATTTGCTTTAATTAATTATTTGCATTATTTGCATTAATTGTGATTAATTGAGTTAATTGTTTTAATTATTTATTTGGTTTTGATTTTCATTAAATTGTATTATTTGATTTAATTACCTGATAAAATTGTTATTAATTAAGTATTATTATTATTTTTTATTTACTTACTTATCGTAAGTTAGGTTTACAAGTTTAGGTTTAAATTTACATGGGTAGCCGACGTTGATTATAACCTAGGTTTATCTATGGGCCGAGTTATATCTTTATGGACTTAGGGTTTTTGTAGTGTTTATATATATGTGTGTATACGTTGGTTTAGGGTTACAAATAAAACCCTATTCACCATAGTCACGTATACAGTAAGATAGGGGGAAAACAGAGCGAAAGATTGAAGGGAAACACAGAGTGAACTTGGGTGGTGAGCAAAGCATCTCAAGAAGGAAGGAGCGGGGTAGGGTGGAACTACAGGGTAGGACACGAACATATCACACAGAGACGGTGAATTAGAATTTCAAATCTGAAATTCAAAGGCAAGTTCTGTTTTTCTCTCTCCCGTTAATTCGTGTTCTGTGCATGACTCGTTGGACTCCAGGGGTTAAATAAAGGTTAAAACAGATTTAAACCAACGTAGTAACATGTTTTATGCATACATGAATTTAGTTTAATCTTTGAATTAACATCGTGAATTATCTGCTTTGAATAATTTTTAATGTTCTGCTATTTGTATCATGTACGGTGGATGTTTCAGATTTGTTGCGGTTAGGATTAGTGATGTGATTAGATGTCTTGTAATCACTCTAAGACTGAGTTTGAACTCTAGAACAAGTGCTTAGAACAATATTTAATTGCACTAAATTAAACTGAAGTAAATTCTGTTGGAACTCGCTTAAAATTGGACAACAGAGGTTCTGTAATCATAGCTTTTAAGCTTGTGTTCCATGCATGTTTTAGTTGAATATCAGTGGTTTAATATATGCCTAGGACTGAGATTGAACTTGAACAAAGATTTAAAAACATCTCAGAGACTTTTAATCACCGGAGTTGGAGCAGACGAAGCTAGATCAGGCAACGGTTGCAAAGGGGAAAGGAGCAGGCTCTAAATTACCAATAGAGTCGGCTCAAAGTGGATGGAGCCGGCTCTATAAAGGACTTGGAGCCGGCTCAATGTTGAAGGAGCCGGCTCTAAGTGAATTTTAGAGCAGGCTCAATGTTTTTGTTGAGCCTACTCTATTCTTGCCTCACACAGTAGTGTTTTAAGGGGCTGTTTGGATTTTCTGGGTTCTGCACTTCATTTAAATTGTTTTAAGTGATGTATGGGACTGTATAAGACTGGTATTATGATGGAAAAATATAAATTCATAATTGGATTGAAGGATAGAGCAAGGAGAACCTAAGAGGAAACGGGTAGCTTGCACACTGTCTAGTTGGTTTTAATTACTGTAACTTGGCAAAGATATTTTATATAATTTAATTATATATAATCATATATTTTTACAGTGTTATGAGTACGGTAAATTAATTACATTTAACTATACTTAGCTTGGATTTAAATTGATATTTAATTTGTATCAATTTAGTGGCTGTTTTGGAGGATTTAAATGCTATGTCTTATTCTAGCTATTTAAATGATTGGAGCATGATATTTAGGTTCTGTAGTGAATACCTAATGTTGGTATATGTATGAATTTATACAAATGCATATACTGGAGGATGGTTGTTGATTATATAGTATTATTTTAATAACTATGTTATAATGGAGGATTGTGTGTACCGGTATGGGACGGTGACATACTAGGTATGGATTAGTCAAACACTAGATCCTACCTAATTTAGATTAAGGTATGGATTAACCCTATGAGTTAAGTCCATCACCTACTTGTGTCATATCAATCAAATAATTGAATGATTTAATATGGTTTCAGGATGGATTTGCTTTACATTTATCAAACCACTTTTCAGATGGTTGATATTTTGTAATAGGAGGACACGGACTTTATATATTTATTATATGTGCCATGGTATGAACTTGAGTCTCAGGACCATGGTTAGGTTCGTATATCGCCTAGGATGGATAACTGGACATAGGTGTTGTTCCCTGGTAGGTCTGGGTACTCATGCCCACTTTAGGGTGCGTATTCG